CTTGTGCCGGCCCACACGCCTGGCACGATCCTTGCCACTGGACGTCCGAGGCGCTGAGGCAGAATTAGAATCAGAATGCTTTATTTGTACTGGAAAGATCCGATGAGCTATAAAGCTCCTTTTCACAAATGTCCAGTAGGGGAACTGGGTCATGACGTTGCAACAACAATACTAAAACACGATAGGAGTGCAAAGTATAGGAAATGCAAGCAAATTACAAAAAAATACAAATAAAACTCAACTATTTTTTATTTATTTTACCAGCCCACAGAGCAATAGGCTTCTTTTTCAGAAGCAACCTAGCCACAAATGATTGCTCAGCGAACTGGCATATCATGTGAAACTTTATAGCAGCCAAAATAACCTTAATAATCTGGCGTCATTCCAAGACTCACACCTCCTCATCTCGCCATGAGCCATGAGCGGCGATACTACATCTCATTCTCACTGCAACGGACTAATGCCTAATGACTGACCCTGAAAGTGTTTGTCGTTTGTTCAGGACCCTTAGTGATGGCCTGCCATGTGACGGCGTTATCGAGGTTGTTAGAATTATTGTGATACTTATCATACACTTAATAAGGCTACTCTCAATGAAAGTGCACTTTTTATAAAATCGATTCTCTGGGTTATCGAATATTTCCGGTACACATCCCTCATTTAAAACATTGTAACAACTTGAAGCTCATCTTTTCTCACAAAAACACTTCTCAAATGTCTTTACAGTATTTCCATTGTGTTTTTCAGTGGTGTTTGATATTCGCGTAAAATATGAATGTATAAAACTAACCCAACAAGCGGCGAATTCCCTCGTAACTTAAAATAAAACTATTGAATTAATATGTTTGCCAAAAATCTGAAACTACAGCGATTATTAGCGACATATTGAGTCAATGACCCAAGTTACCTAGAATGGGCGCGATCACGTCAGATCTCGAAAGTTAAACAGGATTTGAGCCTCAGTGCCTGAATGGGCGACCGCAGTGCGTAAAGTCAGGTGCCATAGGCATTGTGGGCAGTAGAGGGAAGTGCAGCGAAACAACATTTTTCTTCTGCACTCCACCCACATGTTCCAACCCCCACTAACTAGCGTGGTAAAGGACGGTCAAATATGCCTCGTAGCCTGCAAGGCGTGGGGAAGACCTCATCCAGCAGTGGATTCACAAAACAGGCTCTACGTGGTAGGGCTACGTAAAACTTGTATTATGGCCTTGATGTCTTCCATATAGCTGGGCACATTAAAATGTATTTTGCATCGTTATACAATGAACCCTCGGCTATACTCGAACAAGAATCATCGTTCGACTACTCACAGAGGGCCCTCCTGGAATTGCTAAAAAATCACCGGGGTTTTCCATCACCGCAACATAATATAGGGCCGAGGTTGAATTGCAATGACAAATCTTGAATCGAAAGGTACGTGCCCTGAGTGCTAGACTACTAAACCATTTACAGAAAAAATAAATACCTATTGACAATCCTATTTATACAGCAAAGCAGACATTTTAATTAATGCATATGTCATGACCACCTTAATGCTATGGGTCGGAGCACTAAGCCGACGCCGCTAAGATCCTGGGTTCGAAACTGCGTTTAAGCCACCTGTGGTTAAACCTGGTTCTTAGGTGCAGTCAGTTGAAGGTCCCAGCCTGATCACAGACGACTGCACCAGGAACCCAATTATGATTAACATTTCCAAATATAACACAGCGAGTTGTGTGGCAGGAAAGTTAAGCTTCCCAAGGCTGTGAATACGAGGTCATTTGAAAGGATCTTCAGGAGTAGTTCTGACATTCCCTTCCACGGACCATTCTCTCACGCAAGGGAACAGGCGGTCATTCTACGAGAAGTCCAAGTGGACGCTTGCTTTGTCTCATTACACGACACTGCGGGATAGTGCGATTGGAATATAAATTTAGCTGGGGAAAACACGACACTTATTAAAATCTATTGCATATGTGAACAATACAGAACTAAAATATTTGGTTTTAGAAAAGGTGATAAACTGCTTGCAATGAATAAACACGATGGTGGATGTATGGTCAGTGCTGGCTCTAATTTAATTTGGCCACTCATGCAACACAAAACAGAGGAACTAGAGAGGAGCGCGCCGAGGTAATGATGCTGCTGCTGTCTCCTCCGATCCAATAATGAGATATGGCGTAATAAACGGGCCGTGCTAATGGCTACATTTGTCTGTCAGCTTGACCGTGTGCGCGCGTGCACAGCTCCGAAACGCAGCTGCACTTCCCTGGGAGGTATTCGCCCAGAAGTCCGGTCGTGCCGTGCCACTGCGCTGCGCCACCGCGTGCCGTAGCACCGCACCGTGCCATCGCACCGTGCCACTGTGTAACGTGCCACCACGTGCCACCACGTGGCGTGCCACAGCATGCCACCGCGTACCGTGGCACTTCTTGCCGTGCCGCCGTGTGGCACCGAGTGCCACCACGTGCCGTGCCACCGCGTGCCATGCCACCGCGTGCCACCACGTACCGTGCCACCGCGTGCCGTGCCACCACGTGCCATCGCGTACCATGCCACCACGTGCCACCGTGTGCATTGAGGCATCTCAGCTACGGCTTAAAATCCCGTCCAGTGATCTCTGGTCCGCACAGTAGAGGGCAGCACTTACCCACCCGCTCTGCATACAAGAGGTAATGCTTGTGGCGTGACAACCCAAGCAATATTTGAATTCTCAGAGCTGGAATGGTAAATCTAAATGAAGTGCGGAACGATGTTTAATTTGGGCAGGTACTTGGCGACCAGGGGCTGAGACTATCAACTCCTTATTCTTGAGGTCCCTTTTCGTTCAAGCCCAGGGTGTCAGTGGTGCCAGCCCAGTGCTCCGACGCCTTAAATCACCCCGGCCATCTCAATAATGGGATACTTAGAGGCCAACAAACCGCATGAGCAAGCCGCGTTTTTACAAAATATTCCTCTACCATTTAACCTCAACGGTGATTGATTAACTTGACGCAACTTTGAATTGCTCTTGGCTTCCTCTCTGCTATGTTTAGCCACCTCTGAAGTGTGATCCAGTTATTTTACAACACAATTATGGTTGTTGAAGGGAACTGATAATATATTTTTTTTTAGCAACACGGCTAATTATTTACTCCATTTGTTTTTAATATATGTCAGCTGTAAACCAACACACCAGGAAATGTATTGCAATTGAACAAAAAGAGGCTCGCTTCACTCTAATCAAACACTGGGTATTCTGGAGCAAATGCTGGCTGAGTGGACTGGACACAATTCATGCATTATAGAGAATACATCGATCAATTAAAGAAGCAAAGAAACCATTCTGGGGTGCTTGAGATGTTTATTGCACTACTCTTGGGCTCTTCAATAAGTAGTCTCAGTTGTCTTTTGGAGCTTTTGTCATTTATACATTGGTCTGGTGAGACGTAGGCAACTTACAGTGACCCACAGTTCTAAAATACACCTGTTGTGAATGTTTTTTTCTTCCTGATAATATCATAATAATCAGTAGTGGTAGTAGGTTAATAAAGTGATTAAACTGTAGACAATACAAACAAGACGGTAAAAAAGAGATGAAAAGTAATACATTCTTGAATCGACTAACAGCGATCATTGCCTGTTTAGAGCCTTGCGGCAGTGATGCAAATTCAACATTTCTACGGCTGAGGTATTTCAATAGGGCAACTGTTGACTTCCTCGCTGAGCGGTTCTTATTTTTTATCAACCGAATGTGGACGATGACCTTAGCCGACCCTCGACCAGGATTTGCACTCTCGCAACCTTCCAATCACGAGCCATGTACTCTATAGCCACACCTCCTGGCCAGATACACATCAGGTCAGCCAGAGCTAAATGCTGTCGACGCCTGGATGAGTCACTGTGATTTATGAACCAAGTATGATTAGGATTTTTCGATAGATTTTTTTATTAAGTTAATCGCACAACCACGGCGCCAATCTCTCAAGAGACTGAAAAACGCACAGCAACTACATTCCTCGTGACAGGAGAAATCCATTCCACATATTTTTAGCGCGCACCTTAACGTCTGCGTAACCCCGCAATTGCTCACTCACGCCACCGCTGGCGGAAGAGCATCTACTCGGGAGCCCCTCCGGAGGGCAATTTGGGCTACTCTTCCACGCTGCCCAGACGTCTTGAAAATGTGGGAGTACCCACGTTGTACCCCACCAAATGAGGCCTGCTGACCGGCTAACTGTGGTGTACTTATTTATACTGCTGGGTGGACCGGTGACGGGAAGATTTTTTTTAAAGGACTATCCTGGTATGGATTGCTCGTTAGCATGTTAAAGATTTTGTTACAAGAAAATCACTTTTTGTTAATTGTTATTGATGTGTCCATATACTTAAGCAAGCAGTGGCACAGTGGTATGGCGGCGAGCCCACTGCACTATGAACCTTGGCCATCTGAGTTCAATTCCTGGCCACGGCTAACGTCAAGGGTGAGCGATATATAAACTGGTCTCGGGCTCTCCTTGACCATCGCACATTGATCAGCGCCGTGAAGTATGGTCAAACAACTCCCGTACTGGCATTGTGTGGGGGGAGGCTTTAATCCAGCAGTTCATTGACAAAGGTTTGCAAATTAAACTATTATACTCTTACTTTAGCATGCACTCTAATCGAGATAAATTTCCCCCTTCTCAAAAGAGTAATGGGATGTAAACTATTTATGAGAAATGGGGAAGCACTTCTCAATTGGCAGCATTGGAGCCGGTGGTGGAAATTCCACATTCACATGGTGAAGGTCAGTCTTTCTAAGGACAACTGTCCTTGACTTCCCACACAGCGGTACTTACTTTATAAATTATCCAGTCAAGGAATGCTAGGTTGTGTCAACTCATGGAGACTACAAAGTCTTAACTTAGAGATGGACTGCAGTATGCGCTTAATGCACTTTCTAAAATCTATCTTTTTGTACTTTTACTCTTCGTGTTACCACCACTTCCAAACAACACAGACAGAGGACAGTTGTAAAAAAAAGAAACAGATATTACCACTGGCCTGTGAACATCCCAGAAGGCCCTCTCTTGGCTCTCGGTGATTTTTTTCTCGACCTTTTCACGTTTACGATCAATCCTGGGAAACATCAAAAAGAGAAAAAAATCATTGCAAGAAACAGATGCAGGCACAAACACAGAAAGACACAGCTCCTAAATTCAGTCTCTATGGCTGCAAGAACAAGAGCTGTTAGTGAGTACCGTTGAGGTTTCGCACTGCAAGAGAGTTTATTTTGTCTAAATAGAGTGACCTTTGGGAATTAGTCTGCCGGTAGGGTACAACGATGGCTGTGTATTACTCCACTTGAGTATTATGTATGGCTGTGTATTACTCCACTTGAGTATGTATTATGTTGAACTTCTTTCGCACTGGACACAGCCAACCATGCTAATCAGAGGCGTGGGAATAATTAGCGGGTTCTTTTCGAATTTGTAGAAATTAGACCCTCGTGCCAGCACGCAATGGCATACTATTGAGAATGACATACAGGAGAACCTTTAACATCCACTTTGGTACTATTACGGTCACGACACCCGCAGTAATAACCAGGGTGGCATGGGCCCTGGTGCGTGTGTTCTCCCCAACCTTTCTTGTCTGTGTATGTACATGGGGGTACTTGTCTGTGTATGTACATGAGGGTACTTGTCTGTGTATGTACAAAATCGATTACATAACTCGCCCAACACCAAAGATGATGATGATGTCATATAATTGCCATTCCATCAATTACTTTCGAAAACACCTTACTGGTAAGTGGTAATTAAATCGATGACCGGTGTTTATTTACAATTGTAACGACTTAGTGCCATGTTTTATTAACGTTTTGTGCAGGAAATGGAAAATATTATCAAACGATAATCACGAGGCGACGATATTTTTTGTGCGAAAGGGACAATGCGACGATTATCGTGGCTCTCGTGCCGTACGATGTGACGCAGTGACGCCGTGCCGCGTCGACCCGAGCGTGCACACAACTCGAGACACCAGCCCCACAGATGACATTTGTTGAGGGTCTTAAGCAGCTTCATAAATCTGGCGCTTTGTAGCCAGATAGCGCTAAGGGAGCCAATTAAAGCCGCCTTCATACATTGTAAACACAGCGAAGGTCTAATGAGCACGACCACAATACACCATTAAGGAGGGGAGCAAAAACCCACGAACCATTCCCCTCCCCCGCCCCGCTCCCTCGTCGCTGCCAAGGTCAAATGGGATGGCTTTTTCAATGAATCTACTTTTAGCTTAATATAAATAGGACAGGGGATTGGTGTCGATTCTGTCTAAATTCAAGAAATATTTTTCTGTGACGGCCAAACACGAGGCACAGCGACGATGCCATATTACTGGGGCCTTTTTTTTTAGCTTTCATCCTTTCAACAATTGATGTTTAATTATCATGGAAAGATATAACAATGGTGCACCCCCCCCCCCCACCAATTGCGATTGATCCAAATGCAACTCACAGAGCCTTTTTTGAGGGCATTCACGGACGTGCACGATGCCCCACTCACTTTACCAGCGCATGAAATGAATTCGACTTTCATTTAATGTAACTCAAATGCCGCAACTGAACACGACGTACCCAATTTGTTTGATATAACAAAAATAATCCATAATCCTGCATCAGAATCCGGTATGGATAAATTGCTCATATGTTTACGTACCATATAGAAAGCTTGGAGCATTTCAGTGTGGGTGCATGCGGAAGATGCCAGGACTTCTCCGGCAGGCTCGGTAACGGAAGATCAGAATTCAATATAACGTGGGGAGCCAAACGTTGCTGCAGGTGCAATCGGGAAGGACGTGCGGTGATTGGTGGGACGCGTGTGCAGAGGACGGAGGAGGGCGCTTTACCGATGCAGGCATTGAAGTGGCAGCTAGAGGTCGGCAGCCAAGGTGAAGACGGAAATGCAGGGGTGGGGGAGGGAGTCTACAGCCCGTGGTAATCTTAGCCGCACTAATCAGGTACTAAGAGGGCAATGTTTTTTTGACCTGGTGGTAGTACTGTGTTTCTAATTTTAGCGTGATCAGTCACTTCTGTCACTGCAAGGGCCCCTTTGCAGTGATAGATGTGACCAAAGTGAGCGCTAGTGCGTGGCCCACCAAAGGTATCTGAAAGTCCTACTTTGGCCCTCAGTATATATGTAAAAAAAAGGTTCCTCACACCTCACCTAAAGCCGGGTGGACACTGTACGGGTGGACACTGTACGGGTGGACCTTTGAAGTCAGATGTCGACACTGCACCAGCTGATTGAAGGGGCCAATAACAAGGTGGGGGGGGGGCATAATCACGTGCTCCTCTAGTAGGTTGTTAGAGTCACTACGTGGCGATATACCGAGCCATAAACTTGGGGTTAACATTGGCACTGGTCATTGGGATGATATATAGACACGAAGAAGTTAGTTTGGTCCTGATTGAAGAGTGAAGGGATCGATGAAAACTTCCCCCAAGAACAAGGTTCTACGCAATTAGAATGGCACATCAAATACCCTTTCACCATGTGGTGGCACACGTGCAATGGTACACGTGTCATGGTACACGTTTCCACACGGTTCATAACCACTGGTCCAAACTCAGGAGAGCAACAATTGACTCCTCCTCCACCGGAGATTTGATGAATCGTTGTCAGTCGCGTCACGATTCCACAATCAACTCTTCTTAAAACTGTGTTGAATGTAGTAGCGGCCACCAGTGGCTGCTGGAGCCAACGTGAATCCAGGCTTGGGTTTCTCGAGGGCTGCCCTCGGCCTCCAGACCAGCTCAAAGACATTTTCTTTCCTGGCCCTGGCCCTGAGGTGCAGTGGTCGGTGGATAAAATAGCGGTGAGTGGAGCTTGCAAAGTAGATTTGTGTGACCTAAGGGGAGATTTCACCCGAGGAAGTTTATTTAACTTAGCCGGAGGCCTTGAATCCAAGACTGCATGAACACCATTACGTATAACATATATGAATTGAAAAACATTGATTCTTACGTGGCCCTATGAATTAGCTGTGAGCTTACGAATCAAGGGTTTGTTAATGAGACAATGCATGCTAATTGAAGGTGCAGCTAATCCACTAAACACGACTACGGCACATTAACCATAATAACAAAAAAATGCGATTGTTTTACTCAAATTATAATTTGCTGAATTGCAAGGGTTTGAATCAATACGGTACTCATAGTCACGATGTATAATTGACAATGTTTAAAACGTTCCTCAAAAGCAATTTGGCGGAATAGTTTTTTACGCCCCATATAATTATAATATTGTTAATAAAATCGCATTCCCCCTTGTAAATCCACTGATGGACGAATGCCTTCCCATGCCGCGTCGATCACAGGCAGGGGTTGTATGACCATACTTCACCACGCTGGTCAGTGTGGGTTAACAGGATTGGTTACAGATATCACGACCGGCAATTGAACACGGGTGACAGTCGCACCACACCGACCCTTATGTTTTATACGAACTGAATGAAAATTTTAAAGCAAAATATATTTCATGATAAATAGTTGTGTTTTTACTTACTGCAATACGAGGTTTTTTTTTGTTTGCACTGGGATTCTTTCCCGTAATGTTCACCAGCCTCGTGCAACACGGTGTTTAATGGCACCTTCATTGTTCATATTTACCTTCTCCTATCCACGCCAATTACGGAAGAAATAAACTGTTTGCTGGTTCATCCGATTTGCATTGAGGGCGCTGCAAAAACACGCTGCCAGGATGCAAATTGAGCATGCACTTACTTGGCCTGCGCCTCGGACTGCATCACAATGAACTCCCACTTGCGCGCAAACGCCTGCTGAAGCCTCGCCAGGCTTTCCTGAAACAGCAAGCGGCACACATCCCGAGGGGTTATCCGTCGCCGTCCTATACAGGGAGCGGAACATTCGCGGGTGAAAACACAGCCCTTTAAATTGCTTGCTCGCGCAACCGCTGGTGGAAGTCCCTCCACTGGAGAGCCCCTCTCGATGATATATTGGCCTACTCTTTCATGCAGACCCGGCGTCTTAGAAGAGCTGGGAGTACCCACACTTGACCCCGTCACATGTGACCCATTTTATACCTCTGGGTGGACAGATGCAGGCGGATTTAAGGAACTTACCCATCCAGCGTGGGAATCTCTCAAGATTTGTAGCCAAGAATTACGTGCACGCAACGTACGCATGAGGATTGTGTGTAGAAAGAGAGGGACCTTCAAAGCAACTCGCAACTCTGTTGTGTACACACTACCGAACTGAACTAAAGTACCTATCAATATCTAGTCATACATTACTCGAGTGGAACGTACGTTAGCAATCATTGTCCCTTTCTAAGAAAACGTGAAAAATGAGTCCCGAGACTCGGTGGAGCTGTACTGGGTAAACAAGCGGAATAATAATTATAACGATGATGTCACTGACTTGACCGAAGCGATTTTCAAATATAAATAAAAACCCCAGAATAACTCACCGCTTCGTAGTCTGCCAGTTCCGAGCGGGATTTGTTTTGCAGTGTTCTCTTGCACAAATACACGGCTGTAGGGAAGGCGGAGGATGCGTTGACAATTAAGCAGACACGGAAAGACGCGCAGACGCCACACGCGACCCCACAGAAGAACGATTCGCAAGCGCCACACGCGACCCCCACAGGTTTCCGCGGTCGTGCTACTGTAGTACGACTGTTTCAAAGACAATGCATATATGATCAGAGTACGTTTTTTTGTTTGCATTCTGACCACAAGTATACGTGGTTAACGCAGACATGATTCCTTGTAAAAGGTTCCAGTTTGGTGTTTTAACGTCTTAACACAACTGTTTTGTTGCCAGACAAAAAAGGGGAAACCCTATTCGACTCTCCGACGTGTTTTGGGGTCGTACCGCGTCTCGCTCAGCAACGCCGCCTGACGTTTGGCCGCACGTGCTGGGAGCTTCTTTCGGAACTGAAGTGAGCACTGACCAGCTCCCTCTCTCCCATCTCACCAGGGACGCTAACTCCCTCGCCCAAGCCTCACGCCAGTATGTTTGGAGTTTGCTTGTCTCTCTCCCCCCCCCCCCCCCCCCCCTCTTAGTCGCATGGATTCTTCGCCGGGGCCTCCAATGTTTCGCTCCACAATTGGAAACATCGCGCGTTTAGAGTGTTTGGCTGCTATACATTTCCACGTGATGAGCCACTTTGTTGAGATATCATTTGTGGCCAGGTCGCTTCTGCAAAAAGAGCTGTATATCTCAGTGCGCCATACCTGGTAAAATAAAAAAAAACTTTTGAATAGTAAATAGATTATTTCGCGATGCCGGCTGCTGTTGGTGTCGGCAGTTGTTGACTTCGACTAGTCTTAACTCTCTGACAGGCCGGTTCCAACGCTGTTTTTATTCGTCTGGAAGGAAACCGGAGCACCTGGAGAGAAAAGTGAGCAAGCGCTGCTCAACTCAGTTCCTGAAGAAGCTCCCAGCACGTGCGGCGAAACGTCGGACACGTCACCGAACAATATGCTGCACAACCCGAAGATGATGCTATGCGGTGCAGCCGCAAAAAAAAAACTACGGGATAATCCTACACACGCGGTGAACAACGAGCGGTGAACTCCATTATTCAGGTTTCTTTTGCGCGTGTCTGCAGGGGCCGTGTGACCGGTGACCCCCTCTCTCTGTCCACCGCGATTATTCCCGTAAACGCACGCTGCTCAATCATCGGCACACGAATGGTACTCAATTCAAGCCGAGTCAACCTAGAGGAGGTCACCGCCATGCGTGAACAATGGAAGACGGCACACAAAAGGGCATCACAACAGCACCATACTACTTTGCTCCCGGTTTGCAGTACAGCTTGGGGGAGGGAGGGGGGGTGAAAGACATTCCTTTGAATTCGTTAAATCGGCATGATTTGAAAAATTGACTCCGCATGCATTGCATCCAATTATTATGGCACTTCCTACATAATGTAATTTAGCACTTCCTGAGCGCCTAGACATCCTCCAGAAAAAAAATGCCACATTGTCACAAAGGCAGGCGGCATGCATAGCAACACAACGTAGATAATTAAAAGCTCGACACGAAAAAGGCAACAGCCGTGACAACGGAGACCGAAATTTGGAGGTGACTCGTACGGGAAATCCCGGCTTTATTGTAAGTTACGCCGCGGCATTGCAGGAACCAGCGCAGTAGACTTTAAAACAAAAACGGATCTACGGCACGGTATATCGTCATCAGTGAAGATTAAAGTGGCGCGTGATTTTGTGATCGTAGCACGCAGTACGTGCATTGGATTTTTTTCGTTCTGTCAAATCACCCGATATGTGCTAGCCAGGTATTCTTCAGGATCTGTTGAAGCTAAGAAAGTTCGGGCCTGGAGGATTCTCAGATGGGTGACGGCCATCGATGCTGAGTTGCCCTCGGCGGCTACGAGGCTGCGCGTGGTAGGGAGTGCAGTGAAGCAAACTATGTTGTTGGACCGTGCTTCTTACGCTCCTGTTGTCATTGCTCTCCGCTTTCACCAAACCAGCGTGGTAGAGTTTGGACAAACAGACCGACATGACCACTGTGAGACTAGGCTCAAAAGAAAGCTATCTCTGGTGTAGACCAATCAGTTGCAAAGACGATGCATATACTATATGATCTGAAAATTATCAGAGCATGTTTTTTTTGTTTGCATGTTCACCACAAGTACGTGTGGTTAATGCAGACAGGATTCCTTGAAAAATGATTATGTTTGTTTTAACATCTTAACACCTGATTTCCAGCTTTCGTGACTGCAGGGATTCATATTCTTGGTTCTTTCGGTAAAGTCACGTAGAAGGGAAACACCTGATGATGCTTGCTTGAGTTGCAGTCGAAACGTCGTGAGAATTGTATTGTTTTATATTTTATTATTTTATTGTTTCCCTTCTACGTGACTACCGAAGAACCAAGAATATCTTAACACCTCCTGTTTAATTACCAGAATGGGTAAAACCTAATGTTATATTTTGATACTGGCAAGAAAGGTCCCATATTGGTATCTATATCTCATCAATACGTGTAAGTTGATATACCGTCCTACGAAGTCGCATGTCGTGGTTTATGTTTTTAATTAGAGAGTAACGTCGCGAGTGTTGAAAGTCACCAACGGAGCTCTCAATCACGTGGGAAAACAAAATGCCGATTGCGACGCACATGCCGCCTTCACTTGAGGATCACAAAACCCATGGGGATAATTCTGAATAAACGTAACCTGCAGTCAAATAGATGGTTCCACAACAATGTTCATTCAAGACAAGACCTCCCAAAAACATTGGTCTCCTCTTGTAGTGGCACTTTAAAAAAAATAAAACTAAATAATTTTCGCCAATTTTTTCCATATTGTGCTTATTGCTGTCACGTCATAAGACAAATAATCCATTGGAAGCAGATATCAAAGAGCTATTTCTGAGATCCTTTCAAGTGACCTCTGGTCCGCAGACTCAGGGGCAGCCCATAAAATTTGTGAGTTTTGCGCCATTCCAAAAGAGAGAACGCATTCCGCATTTACAGGGGGCACTTTGGGTTGTTCCTTTGTGTCTTCCTTCAATAGCTCCAGAGATATGTAATATTGCTCACCATGGCTCAGTATTTAATGGAAATATGTTCTTTATTTACCCAGGATAGGCCTCGCTGAATATCAATACGTAATTAGGAGGATCGCCAATTGTAATGTTTGTCTAATATGATGTCTAATACTTTAAGAAACTGGGTCACCCAGGGGTGAAACCCACAATACTGTATATAAGATGGAGGATAATACTCAAACTTCAGATGCTGGTTCAGTGAAAAAGAGCCAAGCGGTGACGACGATGATAATGATGATGAAAATTATTATCACACCTGATGATGATTGTTTGTGTTGCAGTCGAAATGTCGTGAGAATTTTATTGTTTCATATTTTTATTATTTTATTGTTTCCCTTCTACGTGACTTTACCGAAAGAACCAAGAATATGAATCCCTGCAGTCACGAAAGCTTTAAATAAAAATGATTATTACTGTCATATTAAAATGACAAGCCACACTTACCGTAGTCCATATTTTCTGGCTCCCAACAGTTCGATGGCCAAAAGTATGGCGTCTGTTGGATACACAAAGTTCCGCACGTTTTATTTTCATTCATGAAGATAATTGGCAAATCATAACACATGTTAGCCAGGTCACGTGTACAACCTTCATGACGATCAATGCCCGGCTCTAATTTTAGCACTGGTTCATTTTCCTGATGGAGACTTTTTAATGGACATTTTCAACAAGTAGGGTAGGTAAAAAAAAACAGCTACTACAAAAACTAGATTTCTTTTAATTGGCATGTAAGAAATCCGTTTCGCTTTCAAGTGCACACCTAACGGCGAGACAGAATTCCTCAGCTTTGAATCCAATTTCAGTGGCTTATTGTGGATAAATCATTGCCCTCCTGCAGCACGGGGTCATGGGTTCAATTCCTGCTATGACCTGCACTCGATTGAAATGCTCGAAACAATTAAGGCACCGCCAATGCTCATTCTGCTACTTGCATCCATTCACCAGTGACGGCGAAACATGGCCTTCCATGGAAATATGATGGTGTGCGCGATTGCGATCGGCCTGTGATATCAATTACAGAAAACTAATAACAAATTTGCGATGATCGCTGCTCATTTTGCAAGTTACTGGAAGGTATTGCTTGAGAGACAGAATGAGAAAACACATGGATTTGAAAACATACGAAGATTAGTTCGTGACATCGCTCAAACGACCCTAAAGAAGAGTGATTTGGCTTGGGCAGGTCATTATTTTAGTAATTATTAATGCGGGTCTTGCCAAGTGAAATGTTACTACAATGTCTGAAGACATGTCGCTACGATGTACGATGGTCAGCAATAGTGACGGCGGAGCATCCCAAAGTCCATCCATCGAGGAGATGGAGTGATGAAAACAGGTCGTGTGTGTTGCACAAGGTACTGTGTGGATTATCACAGGAGATGGAGTGACGACTTGGGGAGGACCTCATAGTGCACTGCACTACGAACCCAGTTAGTTCGACTCCCGGTCATGAAAACGATATCAGTGGCGAGTAACATCTGACCATTTCTGGGTACCTCCTTAACCAACCCTCACTGACCAGTATGGGAAAGTATGGTCAACAACCCGCAAGACTGACAGAGTGTTGGGAGACGTTCATCCAGCAGTGGCTTGATAAGGGGCTATAAATTGCTATTATTCGTATAGTATTTTTTTATAGCATCTTGATAAGCATTTACCTTCAGTTATTGGATAAATCACACCACACACTCCAGAAGCAAGCAAAATAGGACACACCACTCGCTCCATATTGTGAGTTTTAAAAACAGATTTCAAATCCGATTCTCTGATGTGCAGAAAACAACTCTCCGTTTATATGACTGCTCGTGGCTGCTCGGCTTCGTGTATTGCTTGTACCGTTCGGGGAAAACCTCAAATTCCGCCGCCCATGCTGGACCTGCCGCTTGTATCAATCTTGCCACGGATACACGCGATGGCTCTGCCACCCGCACGACGCTCACACGACGCCCGCATGACCCGCGCACGACGCCCGCACGATGCCCGCACGATACTCACACGACGTTCGCACAACGCCCGCACGACGCTCACACGACAGTCACTTCGCCTCCCAACCGACATCTTTGCCAAACACAGCGGGGGGCGCGGAGTTGATTCAGCGTCGTTAAAAAAAAAAACAAGAGAGGGAGGCAACACGTTATACTTAACGTCAATTTGGTGCGAGGATGTTCTGTCTCAACAGAATGCAGTTCCTCTCCGTGGGTGGCAATCATTGTGACTAACACAGGTACTGAACCGTGCACTCAATGCCAGCGGGTGGAACAATGGGATCCCTCCGGTTCCGGAGCTAATTTCCACCAGCAGCACACTTCAATTTACGACGGACAGGAAGACCAATCCCGCGCTTTCAATTGAAGTCAGCACGCGCACACCAGCGTCAGTCAATGCCACGTTGAGCGCCACGCTGAGCGCCGTATTAACAACCCAGGAGGTACGAGATTCCGTCCCGGGTTTGATTCCCCGCCTGCGACTTACACCACGTGGCGAGCGATGCCTCAGTTGGTCCTGGGTCCCCCCCCACCCCACCCACCCCCACTTCATCAACCTGTGCTAACCAAAGTCTATGGGTCTTTCGGAAGACCCATAGACTATGTATTCCTGCTTTAAGTCAAGATTCTGCGCTAACCAGAATATTTTAAAAAAAATCTTATTAATTAGTTTTAGTATTCCGCCTGACTGAAAGATCCCTTACGATGGAACATCTCTTCGTGCGCGGTGAAGTATGGTCAAACACCCCTACGACCGGCGTGGCGAGGCCTTCATTCAGATTTGCTCCGTCAGAACGAGCGTACCGGCACGGCGTATTATCACGCGCGTATATAAATTGAATCAAAGTTAAACAATTGACTTTCGCGTGCACGATTGAAAGTGTATATCGTGAGCATATGCATCGATTCTAAATCGGTGCTTCTATGCGTCGTGCCATGCCTTTTAATTGGTAAAACGTCTACATTCGTACCCACTGCATTGGTTTTTATCTCGCGGTTGTGCTGCTGCGCAGCTCTCCGGCGCGTTTTCGGATTGCGCCCGCGTTTTGTTCGGCGCCGCGATGCCCGACGTTTCGCTCAGCGCGCCGGGGAAGCGCCTGTTTCCGCAATTCGGTTCAGTTTCTTAAGGCAGCTCCCGAGCACGAGCAGCGAAACCAAGGCAAATGAAAAGCCACCAAACAGCATGGGGCACAACCTGACAACACACACGGGAGAGTTTCCCACGTTCGTGATTGACACAAGAGGGCTGTGCGGAGCACGCGCACACAGTGTGCTTCAACCACACTTTAACAATAAGCCCCGAGCCCTCCAGGAATGAATAAACCAACCTCGAGCCACCGTCTGATTAACCGCATTCATTATATAGAATCGATGTTACCAATAACCAACTGGTCACTTGGGGAAGATGAGTTATGGTTGAGAATGGGGGTGTATCGTGGATGACTCCAGTCGAGCTGACCGGAGGAGGATAGTGCCGAAGACAAAAACGCGTTGAACAAAATAGCCTTTTCATGTGCTGCAGGAGCCCCGTGAATTATCACACCGAGCATGTGCGCATGGAAGCCTGAGATATTTTTTTAAGCACATTAAAGTCGGCGTAAATCCGCCGCGAGGAAATTTAGCACCGTGATGCGTTTATAAATGAGCACGGCGATATTTCGTAGATGGCGTGTCTTCTTTTCTTTTTGCCATTGAAAAAAAATTAAATTACATTTTTGTAACGTCTTTATTGCACGATGAGCAATGTGTAATGATACAGCGATTTGGGGAATTGAACCCAGCCTTGCCTGTGTCCTACCACTCCAACTTCACCAACCACGCTAACCAGCGTGGTGAAGTATGGTCAAATAACCCACATGAACAACATGGAGTAGGGAGTGTTACTTCCAGCAGTGGGTTAACAAAGGACTGATAATCAAATTATATTGTTAATTACTAATATTCTCATTTTAGTAATAATATAATAATCACAGATACATTGAAGCATGTGAACGAAATTATTTGGTGATGCTGCTACGTTGGCAGTAGTGCACCTCGCCCAAATAACAAAACACTCAACATATTTTCCATAACAGAGGTCTTTGGGTTACTCAACACATTTGTCAATAACACTGCCGTAAAATAAAAAAAATGTATGATAGGCGATGTTTCAGGCAATAGCCCTTCTTCATTGGGGATGCTATGAAGCAAGGTCAATGCCTGAAATGTCGAGTTTTTAGCATTATAGATCATGGCAGCCACTACCGTTATGGAGCACCTGTTAAGGCCAGCACAAATTGATGGGGCTGTGTGGTCAGCACCAAATCCAGTCGTCTATGTCTCTCCACTCCCGATGTACTCATTTAACGATGAGCCAAACTGCACAAACCATGGCAGATGCGGATACCTGATGCACAAATAGAAAATTTAAAACTCTCCAGTAGCATGCAAACGTGGCCATCGAGAACAGACTATGCAACGTAAAACGACGCAATGCCCCGATCCACAAATACGAAGGAGACATCACGGCGATGATACACTCCACTGCTCCTGACGCGGTTGTCTGGCTTGACCACCTGAATGTGAAATTGCAGTTGTTGCTCTGCAATGTAGCCAAGTGCGCGACATCATAACTCCGCCGCTTCTCACACACACACAACCACAACAACGGCCGCCGTTCGCCACTAAGTGGCGGTAGCGTTATCACACCGCTTGTACCAGGCTAGGTGAACTTTGAAACCACGTGAAATGTGGAAGACTCGCTGGTGGCAGGAGGTTACGGGACAGAGCCAGGTGTTATGATGGGTTGACCGCCTCTGATGGTTGACAGATGCACCACCTGTGCGCCCCACTGTGCCAACTTCCTGCGTTTTAGCCCGCACACAATAGACAATGATCCCCCGTATAGCCTTAACAGATTGTTAGGGAAAGCGCTGTTAGCGAGCACTTATGAAGACCGGCACGGCGCACGAGGGGGTGGGTGGCCAACACCACACTCGGCCGCCTTTGTCTCCCCAGCGGCGATGTTTACACACCACACCAGGAAATCATTTGAGGCTGAGTCGACCTAGGGGAGGCCCAGGACCGGCTCAGATAATCGTCACTGGCGTGCCCACATACACATGCACACACATTGCAAACTGGTATTGTAACATTTTATTTCAAGCTTTCGTGACTGCAGGGATTCATATTCGTGGTTCTTTCGGTAAAGTCATGCAGAAGGGAAACAATAAAATAATAAAAATATAAAACATAAAAATTCTCATGACGTTTCGACTGCAACACAAGCAATCATCATCAGGTGTGAAAACCACAGTAATAAATTTTTTGAAAAAAGTGGTGTTTTTTTAACGTTAGCACCACGGAGAGCGATTTGGCAGTTATTCAGATGGACGAGTCCATCTATGTTCGGAAAAGAGGAGGGGGGAGACGAAATTAATGGATGCGGTCTGAAAGCCACCGTAAGCGTAAACAATCAATTAAGACTCGAAATGGTTTATCAAATCCTTCCAATGATTGCTAAGCCAGAATC